AGCCCACACAAAGCAGCGGCGTACACGCGCGTTTTGGCCATATTACTGTGGGAGAGAAAAGGCGCACAGGATCTCTGCTTTGCTGTAGCCTAAAGACGTATTATTTCCAGAAGCAGTCAAAAGATATTCTGCTCCGAATATATTATTATATTACCAATTCCTCGCTCATCAACACATGACGTGAATCAGTTGTTCTTACCGGCTCTCCAAAGTTTTTGCATGATCAGACATTTGCCAACATTTTCTTAATAAACAGCGTGCTTTTTGTGTTTGATTCTGTCTATTGGAGACGAAGATTTGCCAGTTTCATTCTGGGCAGTGTGTCTAAAAAGAGAAGACAAAATATATACTGAATAAGAGAGAAGATGCACCCTGCTACGGAAGAAGCCAGACACATGCATTTGTCTGTTTAAGAATACAGCCTTCTGCCTCTCTATCACTATCAAATAACTTTATGAATGGGTATTTGCAACCTAGTTGGGCTTAATGTGATCATCATATAAATTAACAGCTGGAGAAAAAAGCAATATGAGTGACTGATACGCCCGTGTTGAATGCGCACTAGAAACATCGTGTATTTACGCGTTGTTTGCAGCAATACATTTATTTTATTTCAACATAATGCTGTCCGCTTATTTAGACAATATTTAATTTAGAACTGAGAAATACAACACAGGTACTTTTACGATTTATCCTATTAAAGTGCGCAAATATAGGCTACTTACCGTTCGAAGTCGGATCCTGGAGAAACGGATACATTTCGGGGTGTTTTCACGGCTTCTGTAAATGAAACCGACAAAGTAATCATGCAGACAAAATAAAACCGGCTCATTTGTTTTAGAATAAAGACATAATTGCTCTAAATACCACCGCTGGGATTGCCTGAAGTGGCAAAAAGTAAATCCAACTCTGGCAACTCTGAAAGCTTTGCCGTCCAAGTCCTGTAAAACAGAATTTAAACAAACAGTCATCAGTTTAAAATGGTGCTCGTTAGTTTGGTCGATGCGGGAGAAGAGACTGAAGCAGTTTCCGTGTCGGATGGCTCCTCTAAATTGAATCTTATTTGAAGCAAAACTTCATACGCTAGGGGGCACCCATATACTGTAATAGATCCTGGGACAATGCATGCTGCTGCTGCTGCTGCTGCTGCTGCTGCTGCTGCTGCTGCTCTCTGTAGACTGACACAGCCAGGCTATAGGTTCATCTGCAGGGCTGCAAGTGAAGTTTTACCTGCAGTTCAACTTTGATCTCTGGGCTTAAAGTAAACCAATCTTTACCGCTGTTTAAATACAAGTCTAAAAACATATTAACCATGAGAGCAGCCACTCTGAGCAGACACTGACCCCGTTCTACATGCTCGGCATCCCTCACTGTGTTTGCAATCATCCCAAAAGCAGTAGATTGTCTTTATTATAAGGCGATATCCGAGGTGTAATTTAAAGCATGACCCAAAAAAAAACACTTTTATATTGTTGTTTATCAGGAAGTGGCTTTGCTTTCCTCTTCACATTAATGTGCAAGGCCTTTGACCTCAAGGGACATTTTAAAAAGTAGACCATATTTAAAGATGTGGTTATTACATGTTTTGACCACATGAAGAAAGAGCTCTGACTTTGGAGACCCAGGTCTGGCCCCTCTGACCTGGTGCGTTGGGGATATTTGCGGCAGTCAGGGATTAGCAGGCTACAGCGGGTGGCTAGATAATGTCAGCAGCCTATCATAACATTTTTATAAGAGGTGTGGATTGTGATGAAAGGTACCTGCAGTGTGATTAGAAGCGCTAATAAGTATATTGGCCTGTCCAAATAAAGGAACACATTTGGAGAAAAGGGGAGAAATTCTGCGTCTGCCTTAAATGTGCATAGACCGAATAAGTCTTCACTGTTTTACACAATTATCCTAAATAACATACACACTTCCAATGATCATGTATCATACAGTCAGAGTGTCTCTTTGTGTTCTCAAATGTGTATAATGCCTTTTATATTCACATATTAAGGATAAACATTAGGGCAAAAATTATAGTTTTTATTATAATGAGCAAATATGTGCAGAAGGTGCACCTGTGTCAATCTCTTTAGATTTTTCAGTATTTTATAAATGTACAGATATAGTGTTACGCGATACGAGGCAATGAATGGATTAAGGTAGAGTGTTATTTCTTCATGCAATTGTTAATGCTTTACCGGGAATTGAGTATTTTCTAAGTATGGACGATTTGAGTGACTAAAAAATGATTCCCGAAACTCGTCTCGTTTTAGGACCAAGCGGCCCTCTCGACCTCCATGCTGGCTCTGGCAAGGTACCAAGTAGCACAAGTGCCGACTAGCCAATGGGGTTGAGGGGGAGGTCCCTAAACTCTGACCAGTCAAACACACTCTCCTTCCTTATATGGCAGCAGATCTCCATGGTAACGTGTGCTAAGTTGCAGCAGTCGTGTCAAAGTTCACTATATAGAGAGCTCAGTGAGCTGATCAGAGAGAAAGCATTCTGCCAGCCCGGCTCCTACCAATCGCAAATCACTTCCTAACCTCCGCCTTTTTAACATATTTGATCACTTTGATTCTCTACTCCTTTTTCCTATTATTTTTCACTGCACGAAGGAGGTTTGTAGGTTGTGATCTTTGTTTTTGTGGTTTTTGTTTTTTAGTGCTTTCAGCATTTTTTGGGAAGAGTTGTCTTCACCGTCCAGACTCTCCAAAAACATTGGCTTCTGCTGCGCGCATTCTGGCGCTACCTCTCAACAAGAAAAGGAAGAAGACGCATTTTTTTTTACCCAGTTGGTGATTTCCTTCAAGACTTGTGCTGGAACTTGATAGTAGCTGCTTCAGTGTGCTCACTATTGTTTTTGCTGCTGCAGACACGGTCCTACCCACCAGCTGCTCCATCATTCTCTGAATAGTCCATGCTATCGGTTGAACATTTTAATATTTAGCCTACATTTCCCATTGATGGGTGTACTGGATGGCTGACTGTAAGCGCCCCTGGACTTGGCCTTTAAGCGCAAGGCAGCGACTCAGCTCGCCATCGCATCAGTTTTGAAAACGTGCTTCGCGACGTCTCCAACAGCAATAAATCGACAGTTTTCGGGAGATTTTGACTGGATTCAACGTAGGTTAGATTTGACATTGTGTGTCCTGTTAGTCACAGTTTATCGCGTTTCCTTGAGACATTATTCACCGCGACACCAAAACGGCAGACAAAAAGTTTCTTTACGTTGACTGATAGATATGGCAATGGTAGTGTGGAGAGGCTCCCAGGACGATGTGGCTGACACCCAAGGCACCCTTTCCTCGCAAACCCAAGGAGGACTATCCCTTCCCACCCCTCAACCAGGCCAGTTAAATCTGTCCTCTCAGGTCGCCCCTCCGACCACTCAGATTCCGGTCCAAGGACCCCCGAACAACACACAGTCCACGCCGACGAACCAGACGACGGAGAAGCAGCAGCCACAGCACATCGAGTGTGTGGTGTGTGGGGATAAATCCAGTGGCAAACACTATGGCCAGTTTACTTGCGAGGGGTGCAAAAGCTTCTTCAAACGGAGCGTAAGACGGAACCTCACTTACACATGCCGTGCCAACAGGAATTGTCCAATCGACCAACACCACCGCAATCAGTGCCAGTACTGCCGCCTCAAAAAATGCCTGAAAGTCGGCATGAGACGGGAAGGTATTGGGACTTTATGTTTCTGATTTATATGCGTGCGTGTGTGTAAGTGTGCTTGTGCTTTTCTCGACATGAAACCATGTAATGTTGCCCCCGTAGCATGTTCTCTCCCCCGACTCTTCCCTCCCAGGCTGTGCGGCAGCAGCTCGCCATGGAGCGGCTCTCTGCTGTGCTGGAGCCGGGGCTCGCCGGGTCTTCGTTTAGCCGCTCTATTATTGTATCCAGCTCCAGCGCATTATAGCCTTGCATTTCACAAATGCGATCCGACCCCTGGCCGGGTTAGGGCTATCGAATATATATTTAGACAAAGCGTAGACATACATCTGTACTGAATAGATGAAACAATATCCTTCTGCGCTATTATGGCGAGTACCGAATTAAGAGATAGCGTGTTCCGGCTACATCTCTCCCGCATGTCTTGAATCGTGCACACAAAGCCTCCGTTTAACCTTAAGAATTTATTTGAATATATGTCGAATATAGGCCTGCATTTTATGGCAAAACAAGATGAATTGCTAAGTAGGTTAAGGGTTAAACATGCAAGGTCTCCCTTGCCCTCTTTGTGTTCCTTTACAGCCAGCTCATGTTGCTGTTGCCGAATAACATAATTTTAAAGATAGACATATCCATATGTGTAAAACGTGTTCTAAAGCGTGTGATTCACAATGATATGTCTCACTACAGCTTCATTATCTATGCGACCTTTTAAAACTCCTATGCAATAACACAATGTGTGTATGAGTGTTGTGATATTGTAGGCTACATCAAACATGCTGTGTGAAATGTATTTTGTTGATGCTTATTCTTGATTCAGCCATAAATGTATAATATTTGAAAGGTATGCCTATGATGATATAGTGTGATGATTTGTAGAATTCAGGCTTCAATATCTGTAGTTTCTCTTTTTACTGCAGCGGTGCAAAGGGGACGGGTGCCACCCACACAGCCTCACCACGGTCAGTTCGCCTTGACAAATGGAGACCCACTGCACTGCCATTCCTACTTATCCGGATATATCTCTCTTCTGTTGAGAGCGGAGCCCTACCCGACGTCCCGGTATGGCAGTCAGTGCATGCAGCCCAACAACATCATGGGCATCGAGAACATTTGTGAACTAGCAGCCAGGATGCTCTTCAGCGCCGTGGAGTGGGCCAGGAATATTCCCTTCTTTCCAGACCTTCAGATCACAGACCAGGTGGCTCTGCTGAGGCTGACGTGGAGTGAGTTATTTGTGCTGAACGCCGCGCAGTGCTCCATGCCCCTGCATGTGGCTCCTCTCCTGGCGGCGGCTGGCCTTCACGCCTCCCCCATGTCTGCGGACAGAGTGGTGGCCTTTATGGACCACATTAGGATCTTCCAGGAACAAGTGGAGAAGCTCAAAGCTTTGCACGTTGACTCTGCTGAATATAGTTGCTTAAAGGCAATTGTGCTCTTCACCACAGGTAAGACAATAGACTGGCACACTCCAATTTAAGTCTGTGTGAATGTCACTAACATGCTCACTGACATCAGCTAAATCAACGCTGACCTAAATATACCCACACTGACTATAGAGGTGGTTGTTTGTCTTAGATAAACATCCTGCTTAAATGTACACATGTGCTGCCTTCATGGTCAAAGACTTTTGAATATAGAATTCAGGCTCCTAAATTATAATAATTAACTGATTAATAAACTGATGTATTAGACACAAACACAGAAATATAGGCTACTGGAAATTGTACAAGCATTTTTGTTAAATTAAATTAACAACAAAACAGAGGAGAATGACTGAAATATTAGAGGATAATCTTGAGTTAAATAACACCGGTAACTTCACCATAATTACTTTAAGCATCATAAAATCTAGCTATTAACACTTTTTGCAAAACCAATAGCTTGCAGATGAATTGCTACACTTTGACTTTATTTTTATTTTTCCGCCATTTATCAATGTGTGTATACCCCACGTCTTGTTTGTAGGGAATGACAGATATAAATGATGTCAGGCTCCGAGGGGGAGGGGAATAGAAAAAGAAAGACAAGCCTAATGTCCCATTTGCACACAGTAAAAGCAAAGCGCAGGTTTCAACGCTCTCGTGTCATTTAGGGGACATGCATGTCCGAGGAAAAACATGTAGAAGCCATGCAAACCCTGTAATTGCAAATATGTCAGATTGTAACAATATTGTGTGATATTAAGCAGTGACAGGAGGGGCGGCTTTCATTTTTATTTTGCAGAACATTTGTTCTTCCTCGATTCAAGGCGTCTTTGGACTTGCTCCAGAACTAGGTCATGGACCCAAACTTCCCAGCTATTTTGTTACATTACCTCCACCATTAAAGAGGGAAATAAAAAAATCCGTGTGAAAGAGATTTACAGGGTTTCACCATAGAGTGAGTGCACGTCTTTGAAATGATATCATACCTGCAAGCCATCAGCCTCTGTATTTCATTTAGCCCACCATTGTTCTCGTGATGGTTTGTAAACCTATTCCAAAAAATCACATCTCATGTCATTTCATTTTTATTATTAAGCCCTGATGGCTTAATTGGTCTGATCCATGCCTGAGACCGGAGGCTTGTGTTGTAGCTTGAATGACACGCATTTGCTACTTTGGTGGTTGTTGTCATGCATAAAGTTTACAAAGTTAACCAATGCGCGTACAAGCCTTTTTTGGCACATAATCATCAGCCGCCCACATGCAGCAGCAAAGATAGTGATTATGCGTCTCTGGTGGTATAGTATGACGGCAACTCCGTAGGCTATGGGCCCCTTTTTCCAAGCTAAATCTCTGCTCACTAAAGGTCAGTAGGTCTCCCTGTCTTTCCCTCTCTCCCCCCTCCTCCTCTCCTCCTCGCTCTGCCTCTGACAGCGAAACACAGGCTCATCTAAAACGCAGTCTTTAGCTATGAATATGCTTAATTATTTAGCTCACTTTTAAGTGGCTTTATCGAGGGAAATGACCGAGGTATGGTAGCGATAAAAGGAGGAGCAGAGAAGTAAGATAGTGGCGGAGCAAAATTCGACATTACGAGCTTTTAAAACATAGCACATAGTTTAAGTTCAGTTAAAAAAAAAATCTATATATGCAGGCCTATCTATTTAAAAAAATAAATATTATAAAATAGTGTAATCAATAAAAATCTGTTCGCAGTGCGTAATTATTTGTGCCTTGATACAAATTCGCCAAGCGTAATGTTTTAACTATAACAATTATTAGATTAAAAACCTATTTGCAGTAGGAACGAGAACAGTCCTCTAAACAAATACCCTGAACTTTTACATATAGAGGGATAAAATAATTTCCTAAAAATGTTTTTTTCTTCTAAATGTGACAGGCTATCAATTTCCGCCTGTATATCCCCACAGTGAGGGAAAGCTCCTCGTGAGAGAAACACTTTAGGTCACACTTTATTAATGTTTATTTGCTTTCCCCCTCCCAGATGCTTGTGGCCTCTCAGATGTGGCCCATGTGGAAAGTTTGCAGGAGAAGTCCCAGTGCGCCCTGGAGGAATATGTCCGGAGCCAGTACCCCAACCAGCCCACACGGTTTGGGAAGTTGTTACTCCGCTTGCCTTCCCTCCGCACAGTCTCTTCCTCGGTCATAGAACAATTATTTTTCGTCCGATTGGTAGGTAAAACCCCAATTGAAACTCTCATCAGGGATATGTTGCTTTCGGGGAGCAGTTTTAACTGGCCTTACATGTCAATTCAGTAAACCAAGAAGGAGACGAACAAACAAAAGGTGGGGTTGGGGGGGCTGCGAGACTACAATGATTATAGCTGCTTTTGTGGAAGGAATAAAAAACCAACCGGCTGTTACACGGGGCTGGCTTTCATGAAGAAAGACATTGACGTAAATGACTGTGAATTCCCCCCTACTCCAAAAAAATTGAGACATCCACTGAACTTTCAAAATGGCAGATACAAGCTCCCAGTGTTCATGCAGAACAACCTGCTTCGATTCATTTTTTCAATGAAAGAAGAAAATGAGAAAAAAAAGGGAAAGGGATTTTGTTTATCCTTATAAGGAAAATTAAGTATTAAGTGCATTTAAAAATGATAATTTGGGTAAAAAGAAGAAAAAAAACAGGAGAAAGGGAAAATACGAAAACGTGAATTTCCTTTTCTCAAATGACTTGTCCTGTGTCCATGTATAGCTGTGTTTTGTACTTTCTTTGTTCCTCCTTTCTGGTTTCAAACCGGCCTATGTGATTTCTGTAGTACAGGTGGTGTTATTTTCTAAGACAATGATTTATTTTGAAAAGGTGTACAAAAAAAAGTTCTAAAAAGAATTAAAACCACAGCAATAGGAGTTTAGGCTTATAATCTAGGCGTAATGCTGCAAGCGCACTTATATTCTAAGGATGACCAATACCATCTTGGAAAAGGGAGTTTCTTTGGACTTTATGTTCAACTTTATGACCCAGCGAAAACATTTTGCCCTTTATTAATATGAAGTTACAGGATCCACTTTGTTTTCCAAATTATTTGCTAAAAAGTCTTCCCCAATTCATCCAACTTTGAATATTTGGCATCAGTTCCCCAATTGGATTCAATAAAAAAAGATCCTACAAGTTGCCTATCCTGCTGTTAAAGAGGTATTAAGACAGGTGGCTCTAAATGCGTTATATTTGCATTTAAGGCTGTTTGCAGTGGTTTCAAACTGCACTGAAAGCATACCTGACTTGTTTAAAAAAATTGGAGAGGTCAAGGGGTCATAAAAGTTTGAAGCCTAGCCAGAGTAGTGTTTAATAGCAGTATTATTAAAGCGTCCCTGAAATGTCACCCTTTATTCACTTCAAGCATTAAGTGCCTGACAAGCATGATGTGATTTCTTATCAAAATGTTGTTAGAGTAAGCCTACAGCATTTTTGGGGGAACTCAATTAGATTTGAAACTTCAGTCGTGTATTTCACTTGAAAAACACTGATTAGAGGCAGTATTCTTGTAAATATAGGTCAATTCATTTCAACAACTTTTTCCTTTATACAAAGTATATGTGATTAAGAAAAATCTGTGGTTGCCATTTTTTTTTCTCGGTAATACAACGTTTTCAAAATTGAGTGGCAGACTTAGCTAGTAGCACTGAAAGTTATGTTTTTAATGTATATACATATTACTACAAATGTTTTCTTTTTCATGTATATTTAGACTGTGAATGCATGGCCACAGGTCGCTAACCTATTTTACCTTTGATATATAAATGTAAATGTTTTCTCTCTCTTTTTTGACTGTATAGATATAATCTGTGCATTCAGTACACTAGCCCTTGTATTTAAAGAAACAAAAAAGAAAAGAAACGACGTTCATTATTAGGCTACAGACTTAAACAGGGTGAGCAGGTTTGAGAAAAAGGAGTCAATATTTTAACTTTAGTGTTATTGCTCCTTTGGTCTTTGACAGGTGCCGTGGTGTGCGTGAGCGTGTGTGCGCGAGAGCGTGTGCGTGCGTGTGTGTATTTGGAAGCTAGCAATTTTGTCCTTGTTTTGATGGCTTTTCTTCAACACACACAAAAAACACCATGTTGTGGTTGAATTAAAAAGGATCACTGATTGAACACTGATCTTTGGCTGTTCGTGGCCACATATGGACCAGAGAATGATACATGATTGTAATTATGAACAGTTTAAACTGACCCACGTTTTTATATAAATATATAAAAATATATGACTGCAGGGTATTGATAACGTATAGATACTTTTTTTATGATTATTATTATTATTAATTGCAAGTGATATATGTGAGTGTGTGTGAAAGTTTATAGTTGAACACAATTCTTGTTTGTTTGTGTTAGCTTATTGTAAACAAGCATTCTGCTGTAAATTTGTTCTTGGTATTAAATTATAATTTATGAATTTGAAAACTCAAGTATTTCCATGTTTTTTTTACTTCCCCAACGCAAGTGTGAACTTGTCCTTGTGTGTGCGTGTGTGCGTGTGTGCGTGTGTTTATGTGCGTGTGGTGTGTGGTCGGCTGGAGGGGGGTGTGTGTGGAGTCAATTTGCTGTGGCAGGATGTTCCCCTTTTGCCCTATGAAAGTGATTAATGAATTACAAAATAATTAATCAATCAGCCAACAGGCTCGCTCAACGCCTTCACTTTTTGCTACAAGTTTCCGAATATTTTCTATAAAAATACCGATCAGTAATTTGGCAAAAATGCTTTGGAAATAATGAATTTAAGGCGGATGTCAGTCACACTTGAGAAATGGTATACAACAGTTGTAATAAGGCTCCCTGCCTCAACAGATAATAACATTTCATAACAGTATGCTCCCCCCCCCCCTCAGTGGGAAATACCCAACTCGCCTTATTTGCGTTTCACCTTTGGACGCTCACATCAATATTAATGGCATGCATTTATACAGTATACATATTAGCATCCAAATAATATAAGTTAGGCTATATCGATAGAGAAAAAAAACTGAAAATCCAAATGTTCTCATGACAAAAACGACTCTTATTATTGTCTACATTATTCATTTCCAACTGCACTGAGCTTCATTAACATCCACACTATACGAAAAAAAACAATAGAAAAAAATTCAGAGGAAAAAAATATGAATAGCCCAAAAGTGAAATGATGGTTAAAATGTCAATCATAGGCTTAGCTGTTGTGATGTTGTAGGCTAGACCTTTGGCCTATCATTAATTACCAGTAGTATTGGTTTATTTGAGAGTTAGGCCTGAAATAGAATTATCCTTGTTGCATGGAGGCTTAATCAGGATGGGTGCACGCCAACTTCACCACGGTTTCTGCTGCTGTGTGTGTGTGTGTGTGTGTGTGTGTGTGTGTGTGTGTGTGTGTGTGTGTGTGTGTGTGTGTGTGTGTGTGTGTGTGTGTGTGTGTGTGTGTGTGTGTGTGTGTGTGTGTGTGTGTGGGTGTGTG